TTGTATCGATGCAAAGCATAAAGAATTTATACGCCTGAACAAAAAGTCGCAAGAAATGGTGCTAGAAGAAAAAGGTCGGCTGGAACAGTTAAAAGTTAAGTTATCGAAATAATGAATCAATAAAAGGCAAGCATCAAAATAATGAAAAAAAATGCAAAATTGTGACGAACATAATATTTATTTACACTTGGCAGAATCTTAAATTATAAAAATATAGATAAAAGTCTTTTAAAGAAATTTCGCAATGCTGTTTCTGTATTTAAATGCAATTTCAGCCTAATTATAAAGAGAATTTTTCTACAACTGTATTTGGACAAATTGTGAATTGATAAATGGTGCAATGGGAACAACTGTCGATATTATATATAAACTTGGAAAGACGCCAACCACATCGTCTACATTAATGCTGTTCAGAATCAAGGTTTAATATTGTCACGAACCGTATTTGACATTTTGCAATAAGGAATATTCTATAGGTTTACATTTGTAGCTGTACCGAGGTCCGTGCTCTACCCATCTTCTTTTCAATAGTATGGAGTACATGATTATAACAAAGATTAGCGAAGAGCAGAGATTACTCTCTTCATAAATTATTAAATTGGGTATTTCTTCTCACATTAAATATAACCTTATAAAATATACTATTTAGAAAAATTAACGTATATTCTAATATCAAATAATAGTGCTACTTTGAAAATTTTATTTTGAAATTTAAGCACCTAACAAGGAAGGCTCCAGCCCTATAAAACGTCGCCGTTTTATTACTAGTTTAAATGATTTTATTAAATTTGAAATTATGTTATATAAACCTTCTGTTTGGTATGGCTTAAATAACAAGGAATACCGTAAACAACCGGTGCTGCACCAATTAAATATTTCAATTTACATTCGTTCCTTGCCATTGATACAGCTTGTACCAATGATACTTTCCCTCTTGAATTCATATCAATCTTGGAATGATAACTCCTAACATCATCATTAACACCTATATCACCAGGACACAATTCCCATTGATTGAAAAGTGCCTTACTAAACCGGTCAATATCTTTATCCGTGACATCCCACAAATTAGCAACAAGTGCCGGACTATTTAATGAAAATATATCAAAAAGTTTATGAGAACACATTATGAAGACAAATAAAATTTCTTGTAAATACTGACCAGCCTGCTATTATATAGCTTAAAGCTGTACCCGATGGGTCAAACTCTCCTCCATCACACAAATGGCCACTACTACATCCAAATAACAGTGTAACTGCACAACGGTCAAGGGCTCTAATACGATGACTTCGAATATATTGCTCTCCAGTACCATGGCCGACATAACTGAAATTTTTAGGTTAAATAAAATTTTAGGTATATAATACATTGCTAAAATAATCTTGTATTTACGTTGTAATACATACATATAAAGGTCATTATTTGCCAAACCATTTTTGCATTCCTGTTCAAAAGGAGGGCGACTAATAACTCCATCCCACCCTTGAAAACTATAAAAAAAAGAAAGATAATAATAATAACAAAATAAAGGCATAAAGAACTATTTAAATTAATATATATTTATGAACTTGTAACTTACCTCTTTACGAAATCTTCAAATTCATTTTGTGTATACTTTAAATCTTGACTCGGATTGAGAACATAAAAGGCCTTGCGTTGATCAATAACGTAGTTCGAAATGTTCGATTCGCATTGTTGATTATTGATATGATTCATAAACATTATGCGATCTCTTAAAAATGACAGGGATGGCAATCGCGAAACAGCTTGAGACCGCAAGCATGGTAAACTTTCCCATGGTAGCATTTGAACATTTTTGTCGAGAATCAAAATCACATGCTGATCATCAGTCTGAGATGAATCAACAAAATTAATGCCAGAAATTATTTGTCGAACGTCAATAGTGAGCTTTAACAAAAAATAAAAGGTAAGCCCGGGCTAATCACTACATAATACTGATAAATCACAAGGTTCGCCAAAATAATGATAAACCAAAACTAACTTTGTCCCAATCAATTTCATCATACCCAATCTGTTCGTCATTATATTTGTTGTAAGCATCCACAAGGAAATAAAGGACGTCTTCAATATCCTCATCTTTGGGATATGCACCTAAACGAAGTAACGACTTATATAATTCTACATCAATATCAAGCTT